AGAGCCGTCAAGTCCCTACCTCTGCCCACCGCCCAGGATCCCTGTGAGTTCCTCTCCTGCCCTTGGTCATTGCCCCACCTGCCCTAAGGTACCACATGGACACCTGGGAACAGGCAGGGCTGGCAGATGCCTGATGAGAGAGTTGACAGGGGACTCGCAGTGTGGGGGTGAGGGGACCCAATGAGCCAGTATTCTGCTCAGGTTCTGAGACTTAAGAGAAGGAGGGGTTATCAGGGTAGAAGAGCCCTGGAAAGACATCCAGTGCATCCCTGATCTGAGTCATGAGTCCAGCCCTAGCATGCACACGTGATCCCACCCTGGTCAAGTCAGCATCACCCGTCCCCTCCATTGCACCACCCTCCTTACTGGTCTCCCTGCTTCCAGCCATCCCCCTTGCAGTCTATTTCCAACAGGGCAGCTAGTGATCTTGTTAAAACAAAAATCAGACCACGTCACTCTTCTGCTTAAAACCCTCTAATGGATCCCATTTCACCGAGTAAAGTGCAACACTCTTACCACAGACTCTAAGCCCTGGACAACCTGATTGCTCTGTACAGTTGGAGATGGTCTCTCCTTCCATTCTTTGCTTTGATCACTGTACTCACACCATGCTGACCCCCTGGTGCTCCTCTAACACGCCAGACATGCTCCTGCCCCAGGGCCTTTGCACTCACTGTTCATTCTGCCTGGAACACTCTTGCCCCAGATACCTGCATGGCTCACTTGTTCACCTCCTTCCAGTCTTGGCTCAAGTGTCACCCCGTTTAAATTGCAGCACGTCCTCTCGCCCTGCCAGGACTCTCCATTTCCTTCATCCTGCTCTTTTTCCAGAGCATTTCTCACAACTCACATAATCTACAGTCTACTTATTATGCTTATTGCCTGCCGTCCCCAACCTCCATCTCAGTGGAAAGTAAGCGCCCGGGGCAGGTGCTCAGAAAGTGTGAGTTGGGTAAAGAAGGGAAGCCAAGCTCTGCCTCCTGCAGTTTGGGGTCTCCGCTCTGCCTTCTGAAGGATGCAGAGAGCTCCTCTGTCAAGACAGCTCTACCAGTCTCTCTGCTCTTGGGTGAAGGTCCCACATTTTTCTTCCAACTGCTTCTCATTCCACAGCTCCGTCTCCTCAAGACGAAACTCCATCTGTCGGCATCCCCCTTGGCCATGCAGAGCCCAGACTTGAGCCAGGTAAAGACGTCTGGAGGCGGAGAGACGGAAAACAGAGCAATCTGGGGAGGGAAGAAGCAAGACAGAGGTGCAAGGAAGGTACCCCTGTGCAGCTGCTTTCGAACTGGTCGTCTGACATTGCACTGAAGCCTCTGACTTTTCCTATCTTCTTCCCCCCGAGAGTTTTTAACGGACGGCCTGAGAACCCTGAGGATCCCTGTTTTCCAGAGACATCTATTGAGTCTATGCAGGTGAGCCCCAGATTGAGGACACAGCACAGAAGGCCGAGCAGGTGGGGGAAGGGCTGGACACACTCCTGCCCGGCCCCCAGCAGGGAGCAGCTGACATTACATTTGCTCCTCAACCCCCATCTCAGCAGGGAGGCCACCTGCCAGTCCACAGCAGGTGCCCAGGGTTTGTGAGGAGAACAAGCCAGCCCCAGAGACAGACATGGGATGCCGCAGAGGAAGCAGGGACTGGAAGGGCCTAACGACCCCAAGGGCTGCCTGGACCAGCTGTGGTGAGCTCTGGGGTAAAGCAGTGCCGTGGCCCACGGGGGCGGCTCTGCAGTCGCAGGACCACACCGCCTCCAACATTAGCAGGTAGCTCAGGTGAGCCGCCCAGGTCCGTCCTGCTTTCAGTCTTGGCCACCGTGACTCAGCGATGGCTTTGTCACGGCATCCTCTGCTTTTCCGGCCCCTGTTTCAGCAGGGGATGGCATCTCGGTCAAGCCAGAGTCTGATTTAGTTGGAGAAACCAACATGTCACAGCGCCCTGAGAATATTAAATAATATTTACAAGGGGATGATGTTGGGAAAGTAATTACCAGTGGGAAGAGGCAATCAGTGGTGGGGAACTCCTCCTCTCCTCAAGTGGTGAGAAATGAGCCGGAGCGGGGCCCCGAGCAGCAGGGTTTGTCACAGGGACAGGGGAAGGCGTTGGGGAGTCGCTACCTCTGCTGATTCTGTTAATAGGATAAAGCAGCCTGGCAAATAAGAGCCAGACCCCAGGAGGCCTGCATTTGAGGGGATTTGAAAATCAGGCCAGGTCCTGCCAATAGCTTCACTTTTAAATGTGTTAGGACTGGAAGGGAGCTTAGAGATCAGCGATGCCACTGGTTTGTGGTTTTCAAGGTTTCTGCCTTCCAAAAATACTGCAAGTGTTAAGTAATAATTAATTTGTTTTCACATTTTTTATTCATCAAAGACACACAGAGGACTGCCAGCTGGGACAAGCAGGAGAAGACACAGTGTCGATGTCACTCCAGCCCCAAACAAGAGATCTATTGTTGTTTTTTTGTCAGCTCAGCCATATTATCTCGTGTGAATGTAGTTTCCCTTTGAAAACATTTAAAATGACACAGGGGTCCATTTTTTAAGTGGAGGGAGTCTGATGGAGCCTGGACTGTCTAAACCAGAAATCTCCACTTCAAGCAAACCCCCTCACTTTATACATTAAGTACAGAGGCCCAGAGAACGTACGTGGCTTGTCCAAGGTCACACAGCTGGCTGTCAACAGGGCCAAGGCTAGACGTGGGGATGCGGGGAGAAGGGAAGGTTGTCCTGGACAGGAAAGGGTAGGGAAGGAGTAAATCATAGTGAATGCAGTGCAGAGCGTAGGCTCTGGGCACCAACAGGCTTGGCTTGACTCCTGCCCGAATCCTTATGAGCTATGGGGCCCTGGTAAAATGAAGCTCTCTGAGCCTATTTCCCTATCTGTAAAATGGGGATAATAAGAGCACTGACCACATACTGTTGGGAGGATTAAGTGACAGAGTACTTCTAAACTGTAGCTACTTTTCCTTAACCCATTTGTGTCGGTGGGCAGAGAGGGGTGTCTGTGTAGACATAAGACCAGCAAGCTCAGAGAACAAGGTCACGTGGCCCAGCCTCCTTCACGTTGCCCTGACAAGGTCATTGGGAGCAACTTGTCTCAGTGGCGCTCCAGGTACTAAACTGCAATACTGTTACTTCTAGGTAGAAAGTCAAAACCAAGCGTGCTTCAGAACCCAGGCTGCATCCAGATTGACTGCCTTAGTTTCTGTAGGGTGGGACTTGGAAATCTGAACTTCGAAAAATTGAAATAACAATTTACATACCATAAAATTTACCATTTTTAAGTGTACACTTTCAGTGGTTTTTACTATATGGTTGAACCACCACCACCACTATCTACTTTCAGAACCTATTCATCATCCTGAAAAGAAATCTGGTACCTATTAGCAGTCATTCCCTATTTCTCACTCTTTCATCCCTGGTCTCCTTGGATTTGTCCACTCTGCACGATTCATACAAATAGAATCACAGGCCATGCTGTCTTGGTGGCTGGCTTTTTTCACTCAGCACAGTGTTTTCAAGGTTCATGTATGCTGCTGAATGGATCAGGGCTTCGTTCCTTTGGAATCTGCACTTTTAACAAGCTCCCCAGGTAGTTCTGATGAGTGGGCTTCGGGGAGAAAAAGAACAGCAAACCCAAACAAGGTGAATCTGCTGGTTACTAGATAGATACAGGGCGTCGATCCTTCCTTCCGGTGTGCCCATGGCAATAGGAGACGTTGCTGGCCGCCTGCCTCCTCAGAGCCTGCAGAGGTGGGCAGGGTCTTCCGGCACCTGGGAGGGAGGACATGTTTATCTCGGGACAGTGTCTGACTGCACGGGGCCCTGTGCATCTGCAAGAGAGACTCACACAAGGGGATTTAGTCTCATCTCCAAGACTTTAATGTACATTATGCTCTTGGAAAAACAATTCCAAGGAAACAAGTGGAGTTTAAAGTCTTAACCAGCAGGGATTCTCATTCAAAAACCTGGAGTGAGCCGCAGCCTTGGGAGGCAGTGGGACAGGGACCTTCATCAAGGTACAACAGTGTGAGGTCAGGGTGAAAGGGCCTGTGTGCGTGATGGGTGAGCCCCTCAGGACACCCAACAGGAACCATCATCCACTCCTGTGGTCTCCACAGCAGGACAGGGGGACCCAGGCTGACAAGGTCGTCTCCGGAGCTCTGGATAAAGATGCAGAACTTCCATGAGACCAAAGAAGCCTGTCCAGAGGAAGAACCATTCTCTTTGTTGCTGCATCTACAGCTCATCAGAAACAGTCGTTGTGACTCTGGTGAGGAACAGGACCAACTGGGAGGGTTGCCAAGGGCCACTTCTGGGTCTGGGGCTCAGAAGGGGACAGGTGGGAGGACAGTGGCACTAGCGAGGCCTCTGAGGTCAGGGGCCACAACCACCTTGAAAGGTTATCCACTGGGACCTCTGGAGAGGAGCAAGGAACTTAAGAGACTGCAAGAGCTGACCACTCGCCAGATTTAACCCATTGTCTTATTTCACCCTCCTCAACTTGGGGCTCCAGAGAGGTCACAGGCCCATGTTTTCTGTGATGTATTCCCATCCACAAGGGGCAGGCAGAAATTCTGGCTCATTTCCCTATTACCCTGTGTTAACTTTTAAAAAGTCAACAACTGACCTCTCAGACTCCTGGGCAGTCCAGGGTTTCCTGAAACCACTCTATGGAATAAGCAATCCTTTCTCTTGGGCTTGGGACTCAACAGCTTTTCTTCTGGAAGAAAGTAGACTGCTGCTGAGGCGGGTCTCTCCCGAGCGCCCATTTGGAATTCAGTTGGGTTAGCACCATGGCCAGGCTGATAGCACCCATAAGGTGCCTGCTAGATGGGGAACAGCCTCTCTGGCACTGAAGGGACTTGGTTACTGGTGAAGGAGGGGATTCTGGCTTCATCTTTGCAGAACCTAGCAGGGCTCCTGCCAGTAGCTTGGGTGAATGGAGAAGCCAGGACTGCGGCCGTGGGGAAGGGGGCCTCCCCTGGTCAAGAGCTCTCCCAGTTAGCCAGTCCCCATGCCGTCAGGGAGCTCCACCACCACCGGGGCGCAGTCCTCAGGCTCCGCCTCAAAGTCCCACCGGAACTTCTTGGTCAGGTGAGCTTGGAACCTTTCGGCTTTCTGCCTCAGGGTGGCATCCACAGCAGCGCTGCGGGCAGAGGAGAAGAAAACCTACAGAGAACAGAGGAGAAGTCACTCCTGACAACACGCAGGGGCCGAGAAAGCGGTGGAAATTTCCTCTGAGTGTTCAGTTCTCCGGGGCGGGAGGATCAGCTGCTGCTGGCACAGACTCAGGACACCTGCTGTGCTCCCCCCAAACCAAGAAAGAAGGTCCAAGCCCAGATGAGAAGCTGGGGCAGGACGAGAATGGAAAATTACTGTCTTGGGCAGAGATACCCCACTGAGAATAAGGCCAGCAGGGCCATCACCCAGCCTTGCCCTCTGGTGAGATCTACTGGGCACCTGGGCAGGAACTTAGAAAAATAGGCAGCAGCGACACCAGCTGGTGCTAAGAAAGGTGTGGGGGACTTATGAGCCCCTAGATCCCATAAAAAATCCCAGGCCCTAACCCGATGAGGGTAAACTGCTGCTCTAGTCTACATGGACTTCAGGTGTGTGTACACATTGTATACAATGTGAGGTTTGTATTCCCCTTAAAAGCTGTCTTTGATTTTTTAAAAATTGTGGCAATATATGCATAACACAAAATATACCATTTTAACCATTAAAAATTATCATTTAAAACACTGTACTAAATATATGCACTAAGTATAACATTTACCATTTTAATAGTACAGTTCAGTGGCATGAAGTATATTTACATTATTATGCAACCATCTCTAGAACTTTTTCATCTTCCCCAACTGAAGCTTTACATCCATTAACTCCTCATCCCCTCTCCTCCAGCCCCTGGTAACTACCATTCTACTTTCAGTCTCTATGAATCTGACTACTCCAGGTACCTCATGGGGCTTCACTGGTGGTTCAGTGGTAAAGAACCCAACTGCCAATGCAGAAGATGTGGGTTCTATCTCTGGGTCAGGAAAATTCCCTGGAGAAGGAAATGGCAGCCCACTCCAGTATTCTTGCCTGGGAAATCCCATGGACAGAGAAACCTGGTGGGCTACAGCTCAAAGGGTTACAAAAGGGTAGGACATGACTTAGCAACTAAAAAACAACAAAAAAAACCCCCAACAGGTACCCTATATAAGTGGAATCATACAATATCTGTCCTTCTGTGCCTGGCTTCTTTCTCTTAGCATAATTTCCTCAAGGCTCACTCATATAGCATGTGCTAGAAATTTCCTTTTTTTTTTTTTTTAAGGCTGAATGATATTTCATTTTATGTACATACCACACTTTGTTTTCCATTCATCTATCAGTGGCCATTTGGGTTGTTTCTATGTTTTGGCTATTATAAATAATGCTGCTATGAACATGAATCTAAAAATATCTCTTATAGAAGCCTTGCTTTCGATTCTTTGGGGTATATACCCAGAATGGAATTTTGGATTATAAGGTAATACTGTTCAATGCTTCGAAGAACCACCATACTGTTTTCCACAGTGGCTGTGCCATTTTTACATTTCTACCAGCAATCCAGCATCTCTCTCTCACATCTTATATTTTCTGTTTTTGTTTGTTTGTTTACAATAGCAACCCAAATGGGTGTGGCAAGAATACTGGAATGGGTTGCTGTGCCTGCCTCCAGGGGATCTTCCGATCCAGGGATCGAACCCGCATTTCTTATGTCTCCTGCATTGGCAGGTGGATTCTTTATGACTAGCAGAAACATGGGCAGGGGCAAACAAGAGTAATTTTCTCTACATCTGAAACTCCATTTCAGACTGTCCTGAATCAATCGCTTCTAAGAATGACAGCAAACTCGTTTCTCCTCCTTACAAGGCCCTGGAAAGACACACTAGGATGCCTATTATGGAAACAGAAGCTAAGGGGAGTTAAATGCCTGGGTCAAAATCACCAGAAAGGAAGTAGTTTTCCCAGATTACTCACTGGCTCCCTGCAAGACCACCCTAGACAGGCGGCAGGAGGGTGAAAGCAGCAATTTGATCCACGTCACCCTTATGCCAGAGCGGCCGTAGACCAGCACGGAAGGAATCTGGGCTCCAGGGGTCATGACCTGACACAGTTAGCAGGTGTAGTCTGCAGCTGCTTCTAGAGACAAGCCCTTCCGCCTGCCTGTCCACTCTCTTTCCATCAGCAGGTGGAGTGAGGCTCACGTCTGCAGTCTTTTTTTGCAGTCACTCTGTTGGGGTGGGAGTAGGGACAGAACTGACAGGGGAGGGGGTACAGAAGCAGAAGATGGGGGGGGGGGCGGTTTACAGAATTTGGTTTCATTACTTGAGAATCGACTAAATACAGGAGCAGGAAGCACAGCCACAACAAAACACGGGATCAATAACTAATTAGAGGGGCTGTGCGAGCTCGGCGGCCAGCGGGCAGTGGGGAAGCCGGCGGCCTGTCTGCGGGCGGCTAATGGAGCTTGCTCTGGAGCACTGAACTTGGGCAAGGGGCCTGGTACGGGAAGCAGGGAAGCCTTGTTTCAAACGGCCTTAGCGCTGGAGGCCCTGCACCCTCGTGGGTCTGTCTCCAGGGGTCCTGGGGGACCTGATGGCTCAATTAGCAAAAGCCTCCACTCCTTACATGGTAAACTCTACTACTCGCTACACAGTCCTTCCTCTCCAGCTGCCTTGAGCAGCGACCCAAAGATGGTCCATTGTCTCTTCTGCATTTCTGCACACACAGGCTATTCCCTCTGCTTATTATACCCTTCCACCCTGCTTTCTCCTCCTGCACCTACTACTTTCTACTAGTGACCCAAGCTCAGCTCAGATCCGCCCCCTTGGGACGTCTTCCCAGACCATGATGGACCAGGTGCTCTTCTGCGCTCCCCTGGTACCCAGAGTTACCCGGGACATAGCCTCACTCTCAGTCACTGCTCATCCATTTACTGCTGAGCTCTCCCAAGAGATGAGCAGCAACTCCAAAGCACTGACTCCTTCACATACCTGCATCCCGCTCCCCTGGTACGAAGTCTGACGTACAAAAAGGACCCATGAGATGTTTAATGAACAAAAGACAACCATAGGTTCTATGAAAATCCATTTCTGGGTTCCTCTGGCACAGTGCCTGCACCAAATGATTGCTCAATAATTATGTGATGGTGCCGGACAGAGTAAGGGACTCGTCCTGGGGAGGTGGCTTGTTTACGAGGCCTCTGAATGCCATCGGCTCACAGGCCATCTCCGTGTGACAGGACTCTTATAAAAGCCCAAGCTGAAAGGAACTGCTCCCACCTCTGCTCCCCGAGTACCATGCCTGAGCTTCCCTTAGGGAGTTTCTCACTCTCCGCTTGCATTACAGTGATCTGTGATCTGTGCCCCTTCAGAGTAGATGTCACTCCCTAATTATCCATGTGACCACATGGCAGATTGCCCAGGGCCTGGCACAGAGTTAGAGCCCATGGGACGCTCCCTGAATGGATGTGAATGAGACGGAGGCATCGCCCTGCATTCAGCGATGGCCAGCAGGGAGGGACTGGAACGGGCTGGGCTCAGACTCATCGTTCACCCTCCCCACCCACTCCCCCACCACCACCAGCGGGGTAACATCAACTCCAGGCAGGTACAACAGAAGCCTTCAGTCTGAAAAATAAGGCTTCAGGTTTGAAAAGTGCTATGTCCTTTTTATTTATTTATTTATTTTTTTATGTCCTTTTTAAAGAATCTGTCAGTCTAATCTTTGCTACAAACCTGGAGGTAGGAGAACAGGAAATTACTATTCCCATTGTACAGATGAGGATGGTGATAAATGCTGAGCAAGTGATGCACGTCAAGCAAGATGCAGTCCAAGTAGGGAAACTGAAATCCTTCTTCCCTACCAAGACCTTCTTTTTATCTTGACACAGACTGAATCCATCCTTGATATTCTCAGCAGTGCTGTGGGGAGCCAAGGGGCCTGGAGACCAGGTGTTTCTGGAACTGTGCCTTCTGTGGGCCTCCAAGACCCAGGGCACAGTCCAGGTTGACTGTTTCAACAAACCAACTTTATTGAGGCATAATTTACTTACAATTAAATTCATCCATTTAAAATGTTCGATTCATTTTGATGAATGTATACATCCATACACTGACTTCCCCAGTGGCTAAGTGGCAAAAGTATCCGCCTGCAATGCAGGAGACGCTCAAAAGACCCAGGTTCGATCCCTGGGTCATGAAGATCCCCTGGAGAAGGAAATGGCAACCCACTCCAGTGTTCCTGCCTGGAGAATCCCACGGACAGAGGAGCCAGGCAAGCTACAGCCCACGAGGTCGCAAAGAGTCAGACACGACTGAGCGACTAAACAACAAACAACAATATACCCATGCAACCAGTATATGACATAATCAAGATAGATATCTGTTTATAGCTTTTTCTTTTGGAACCTAGTTCTATGAGTTTAAAGGCCCACATCCCATCACACTCAGGATACTGAACAGTTCCATCGCTCCAAACATATCCCCTCATGCTGCCCCTTAGGGGTCAAACCCTCCCCTGTCCCGAGCCCCGGGGACCCGCTGATCTAGAGTTTACAAATCTCACCATTCGGAAGAGAAGATATGTAGACAGTTTCACATTGAGACAGATGTTTAGACAATTTACTTTGATTCTCTTGTTTTTAGATTAATTGTATGCCTTCTTATGTAAATTTAGTAATGATCTGGTGGCTGTGAAACAGTAAACTTTCTAAAATCACTGAGAAATGAATCACTTTAATATGGGAATATTAACCCTGAATATTTTAAAAATACTTTTGAAATAGAAAAGTAACATTTTACAAGCATCTCTATATTTATCTAAAACTAAAAGCACACCCATTGGGGATTTTTCTTCAAATGTAAAAAAAGGTATTAATACATCTACCATTAAGTCTATATATTGTAAAACTGTACATTACTTTAGTCAGAAAAGTGAAAGCTTTCTTTTAAACCCAAGTTAAATAAATTGAGTTCAGTCAGGTCACCTTGAGAAAGTCAAAATGCCACAGTAGATAGCTGAGTCACTTCTTATCCTATTTTTCGGCTAGACCAAAAAGATGCACTTTTCTAATTTTTTAAACTCCCAAATGATTATTCAACTTAGAATGAAACTAGCCAGAGGTAGAACATTTC